CGGAAACCTCAATAGAACATTTAAATGCATTTTTATTAAAAAAAACACCTGCTTGAATAGCGGAAATCCATTAGCAAACAAACACAAAATCTACATCGATTACAATTAAAAGCTTCAATAGCTTTGCGTCATTATCGACGGATCATGAAGAATCTTTATTATTTAGTGCAGATGTCGAATTATTTTGTTACATATATCCTTCATTCTATGTATATTTCTACATGTAACTATTCTTTAGATGGTTTCGAATATTCGAATAATATGCAAGATGGTCCTCACTACCATCAGAATCGAAACTTACATTTTTTACAAGTAGTCGCATAGAAATATTCTTTGGTACCAATTTTGATTTGATAATTTTTATATTTATTCTAAATGCATATAAATAATTCTATGTATTCAATGAATTATTTATAGAAATCTATGTATGCAAAAAATAGCGTTCTTGATCTGAGTAATTCTTTTTAAAATCCGATAAATCATCTTTTTCATGCCAGACGGCTGCACAGATCAAAGGGTTAAAAAGTATTTAATGAAAATATTTTTTTCAAGTATAAATAGACCTACTTATAATCCTCATATATCAAACATAATCTATCTGTTTATGACAAAAATTTATCGCTAGATTAAATAAATACAGTTAACAAAGTATTGTGCAAATTAAAGATTACAATATTTTGCATGTTTGCAGTTATCGGCTCTGATATTTATGTCCATAAACAACTAGAGAAAAAAATGCACCTGTGTTTTTTTTTAGTAGCACATCGATAGAAACCATTGTTATTTTCTAATGACGTATGAACGTGAATGAAGAAAGATGAAATACTTGTCGTGACTAATCAAAATCGTCGGAGTTTTCCTCTGTTTTTTATAAGATACTTCAAAGAAAAATATGACATCCATCTGAATACTTCTTGTCTTATACTGTTAGATGAATAAATGATTGAAATAGAATCACAGTCTTGTATTTTTTGAACAGACGAGTAAGTTGATATTGTTTTATTTCTTAATAATTATGTGTTACTCGACAGAACAAAAAAGAAAAAGGATTCGCTTTAAACATTTGATTATTCATAAATTAAATTTGACATATTCTCTACCGGAAATTCGTGATATATATAAATATACGTTTCTGTTTTTATCATCATCGTCATTTTAAATATAGATGAAAGTTTCAACATAAAATATGTGGCATGATATAATTCGTCTTGGTCTTGTACGTATATTTTATCCATGTTTAATGATATTTGGTACAATTGGTAATATATTATGTTTAAAAATTCTTTTACGAAAACGTTTTCGTCGTCAATCAACATGTCAATATTTATGTATACTCGCTGTTATTGATATTCTATTTATTTATATGAGATCAACAAGATTTTTATATCGATATATATTTAATGGTGATTTACGTAATACATCATTATGGATATGTCGATCATTTATATTTGTATTCAATATATACAAAAGAACTTTTATTTTCATATTCAAAATTGTTATAATGTGGTTCTTCCG